AGATGCCCAGTAATAGGATTGCTGGATCAAATGGTAGTTCTACTTGTATCTCTTTGAGGTATCTCCATATTGCTTTCCACAGAGGTTGTACTAGTTTGCAGTCCCATGATTGTTTCTTTTGTCTCCTCCATCCTTCTGTTACGCCCAGTCACTGAGCTTTTCATATCAGTTATTGGATTTTTCAGTTCTAAAATTTCTATTTGGTTCTTTTCTATATCTTCTATTTCTTTCCTAAGACTTTCTATTTATTTGCTGAGTCCTTCAATTTTTTCATTTGTTTCCAGCATTTGTAATTGCTCATTGAAACATTCATTTTTATCACGGCTTCTTTAAAATCTTTGTCTCACAATACTAATGTATCTGTCATCTTGGTGTTAACATTTAGTGATTGTGGGTTTGGTTTTTTTTGTTTTGTTTTGAGATTAGAGTCTTGCTCTGTCACCCTGGGTAGAGTGTAGTGGCATCACTGCAGCTCACTGCAGCCTCAAACTCTTGGGCTCAAGTGATCCTCCTGCCTCAGCCTCCCAAGTAGCTGGGACTACAGGCGCATGCCATAACACCGGATAATTTTTCTATTTTTAGTCGGATAGGGTCTTACTCTTGCTCAGGCTGGTCTCAAACTCCTGAGCTCAAGCAATCCTCCTGCCTTGGCTGCCCAGAGTGCTAGGATTACAGAAGTGAGCCACTGCGCCAGGCCTGATTCTGTCTTTTAACTCAGTTTGAGATCTTCCAGTTGTTGGAAAGACTTGTGATTTTCAGTTGAAACCTGGACTTTCCCTATTACGTTATGAAACTCTGGATCTTACTTAAACCTTGTTTTAGTTGGATTTTTCTGACATTGTTCCATCAGGGGAATGGGGGAGGTGCTGTCCCATCACTGCCACGTAGGGGCAGAAATCTCAGCATCCAATGACACCTGAGTGGGGCACCTCCTCATTAATACTGAGGGGGAATTGGAGTTCTGGTTCCTTAGTCTCCACTGACACCACAGCGGGTGTGGACTCATTACCACTGGGTGATGGGGAAAGTTCTGACCCTATAGTAGGCCTCCTCTGACACCACCCCAGTGGGAAGGGAAGAGACACCTTGTTACTGACACTTTGGGGTAGAAGTCCAGGATCCCCATGTGGTTTCTACTAACATCACAACAGGTGGTGGGCTCATTATCAGAGGAGATAAAAGTCCTGGTTCCCTACTTGATCTTCTCTGACACCACTAGGGTATGGAGGCACCTCATTATAGCTTTGTGAGGGTAGAATTCTAGACTCCCATTCAGCTTGGTTGAGGGCAGGGCCATAGTTTTTCCTGCAGTGTTCGGCTAGAGTAGAACAGTTACTGTCTAAAAGTTTTCTGTCTTACTAGGGTGCCCCTTGCCTGGTCTTTTGGCTAGGGAGCAGATTTTTATCAGGCTTTTTTTTTTTGGCTGTGCCCTTTGGTGTTTCTAGGTTGCTGGCTTCTTCAGCATCA